CTGTCTTGGCAGGAGTGCTGTCGGCATACTGCCGAAATCTAAAGTTGTACACCACAGTGTTCGATAGAAAAACTGAGCATTTCAGATTTCTGTTTGCACACTATTGTTTTTCACATTGAATCTTTGGAAAACCAGTCTATCAGAAAACTGTGTAATTTAGAATAGCTGTCACGCTGCAACTTCGTATGGGCTCTTTTGGTGTGTGGATCACAGCACCTGTTCTGTTGTTATGGGCCCAAACTCTTGTCAGTGCAATTCTTGCTTCAGTGCTTTTGATATTTGTGACTCACACCAAAATCTTGGTAGAGCACCAAAAGGCACCAAACCGCCGTTTTATTCTTATTATCGACTATCTTCATGGACATTAAAATGGCTCAGCTGACGTGCCATTTTTGTGCCTGACAATGATGATGATGACGACTAGAATATGGAGGGAACAAGCCACAATTTGAAAAGAACATGTTATGAGATTTGTCGCTTTGGTCCCACACAGCTGTTCCACAAATCTCAGACAGCGAACAGAATAGTCGAGCAAGCAGTATGTTTGGCTGGCAAACGATCACTTTTTACAGAAGCTCGGGTGGCATAAGTTCCTCTTTCAGCCGAATAAAAATATCATCCGGACGGCTATTGCCGAGAGACGACGAACTTTTTTCCAGATTTGTTTGTTCTCTGCACACATACACAAAAGGAAATCTAATTTGTCTATTTTCTATCTACACCTGGTTTTGTACAAACAATCTGCACTTTCCTGACATGATGTCTGCAGGAAAGATCAAACCAAATAAGCACGCTGCTGGCGGGTTACCGATAAAAGTGTCGTACGCATCAAGATACTCTGGGATTAAACCTGCTCAGAAATTCAGAGGAACGGTGGCAGTCTGAATTACAAACGAATTAGACATTTGATTCGACAGGTCCGAAGAGGTTTCGATATTTGTGGACTTGAAAGCCCAAAGATAGATGTGAAAAGTTTTGGGCCAGTACGAACTGAAAAATGTAGGTCTTATGCGGATGTTTCCCATTTTAAAAAACGTTTCTCAGACGAATAGTCAGATATGATCTACAATGCGCGATGTTCTCTTCCGGAGATGGGACTCTGCCATGAGGATCTGTTTCAACAGGGATCATTCACCTACTAGGGGCGAAATGGCCCAAGTGGTTAGAGCGCGAATTTACTGAGCGGAAGGCCCGTGGTTCGAACCCGACCTCTGTCACTCGACTTCCCCTGTCTAGGCTTCGGCGACCTGGCAGTATCCTAGCCCTCGCGCTTCCTCCGGGTGGCATGGCAGCTAGGCACCGAAAGAGTGCTACAGCTGAACGATTATTATTATTATTATTATTATTATTATTATTATTCACCTACTAGTACTGACAACTGTAAGTATTCGACTTTTGGGTCTTGGCGGATTCCGCTTCTCTGCTTACGTTTTTGATAATTCAGATCGAGACTATTAGACAAATAACACTTCACAGTTTACTACCCTGAAAATGGGGATCAATTTATTCACAGTTATCATGCAAAAAACATGTCTAACTAGCATATCCCGACGTTCGTTCGGATATGAAACGGCTGTGCAAACCAGCAAAACTGGCTGCCAGCTATCTTCCCAGCACTTTCATCTGGTTCTGGATCTAACTTATGCAATCCTAGGTCTGTAAAGTGTCTTGAACCGTCAGCTAAATCTGGTGGACGCAAAAGTCCTTTTGTACTTTCAACAAAGTTTCAAATATGAGGTACTTTCATACCTTGTGCGTTCGTGCTTGAAAGTGACCTTCAAAATGCGTCTTGAACGGTGTCAGCCAAACGTTTCAGCCATGATCACCATGGGCACCAATGCCGGAGGGAAGTCTGGTCACAGATATTTCGGTCAGTAGTTAGCGATACACGGATTAGTAAGGTGCAACTCACAGGGCTTCTGCTTTAGAATCAGCCCAGACAGTTGTTTTTTTTCACTCACTTTCTAACTTTTCTGGGATTGAAGTAATTGGTGCTAATGTGATTGGTCGCCTTTTTAATTTGCCGTAACTGGCTGCCATGGTAACAATTGCGCTCTCCATGAACTCCAGGAATCTAGTGTCTGGGCCTGCACCGACTTTTTTCGACTCTTCATATTAGCGAAATACACTCGGTTTTGACGAGAGACACACCTGTAACTCAGCTGAATCTCGTTCCAATTTTCGAACATTAATTCATGATCGATTGGTACACCGAGCTGGAAATTCTTCACCAACCGAGAAGATATCATCAACGCTTTGTTGCGAAGCGGACGTAAGCTGTGCTTTGGGTGTGTCTGCACTTTATATGTGTTTCCAAGACGGACAGCCTTCCATTATGACTAATTGTTCTAATAAGTAGTCTCAGTGATGGAATTTTTCAGTTATCTTCTAACTAGCCGGTGTTCATCTGACCGTTGATTTCTTCTATCCTAGATTTTTGGACTTTGCAGGGTTGATCAGTCGATCGATTCTGTTATTTGATCCGTTTGTTTGATGCTCGGGTGCGTTTGGTATTCCATTCATTTGGCGATCCCGCGCTGGTAGAGGTCCAGTTTAACGTGTCGCTTGACTGAGTTGTTTCTGGAATTTCAGAAATTCCCTCACGTTTTTACTGCTTCCACACTGGGATCCTTCTTCTGTGGAGACAATGGCTTTCCTGATCTCCATGTACGGCATTCGGAGAAAAAACAGAAGACACATGCCTTCTGTAGAAATCGTTTACTTTGCTGTGTCCCAAGCGAGCTGCCATACTGGGTCTTCCCACTTGCACGGTGTGGGTTGCTCTGTCCTTGAAATGCTTGTCAGAGGCTTTTGGACCCCTAATTGCCTTGGTAATAATGAGGGGATGGCCGTGGGCGGAATAGTGTGAGGCATATTTTGTTTTGATAAGCACCGTTGCGTCTTCAAGACAGGAAGGCAGTACCTAAACCGCCTTCGTTGTTTAACCATATAAAGTGAGTATCTGGAAAAGAAATCAGTTATTATTGTGAACTCAAAATTCACAGTGTCCTGTGTTTCACAAGGCTGTCGTGTTCCACTTTTCCGAATAACTAATCGCGTGGTAGCCAATTCGAATAGCTTCTCACTAATCAACTATCCTTCGAACTTAGTTTCTCGGGCCATCAATCAGATTTATACCCATCCAACATAGTTACAGAATTGATAATTTGTAGTAAACAGCTGACCAGTCTGTGACACGGTGAACTTTGGTCAGGAAACTATGTATAAAGTCACTGTTCTGTTATGCGTGTGACTGCAGAGTTTGCAATCAATCACCACTATCGTTTGGGCCAATCAGCCACCAGCTTACGTGTTAACCGACAGACATTCACATGGTTACATGCCGATTCCTAGAACGGCCCTACTAAACGTTATTTTTTTTTACAAACTTGTTTATTTGCCTGCTTTTTTTGAGTGAGAATGATTGCAATTATCAAACATCTATCTAGTTTTCCCACCATCTTTTGCTTAGCTATGGGAAAGAATGATCATGGATCGATGTGAATAGGGAACTAAACCCTATAATTTTGCATTAAAGTCCTGTATTATTTATCAGACAATTCGACAGCAACTTTTCCTTGAAAAACGAATTCATTCCCTTGCAGTTGTGATAACTCTGGACTTATCTCAGCCTATAAACTAGAACGGCCTAAACGTTATTTTTTTTTACAAACTTGTTTATTTGCCTGCTTTTTTTGAGTGAGAATGATTGCAATTATCAAACATCTATCTAGTTTTCCCACCATCTTTTGCTTAGCTATGGGAAAGAATGATCATGGATCGATGTGAATAGGGAACTAAACCCTATAATTTTGCATTAAAGTCCTGTATTATTTATCAGACAATTCGACAGCAACTTTTCCTTGAAAAACGAATTCATTCCCTTGCAGTTGTGATAACTCTGGACTTATCTCAGCCTATAAAATGAGCTCGATATCGAAATTTGTGGATCAGTCTTGGTAGCTGTGAATTTTGTTACTAATCGGAACAATGAATTTGTATTTTACAGACTAAACCATTTGGTCTCCCTAAATTTACACCCAGCACAACACACATAGCTACAGAAGAGGCATTAGAAATATCATACTTTGTGCTGTGAGCTTTTGGGATACTAGTATGTTGTAAATTTTTCAGGACTGTAGCGTGGCTGCCACATCATTCAATAAATGAGGCTCAAGGTCGAATCTGATTTAAACACTGTGTTTCAAGGTCACCCCTGTCTGTTTACCAACCGTACCTACTTTTTCTTGCGAGCGATCGATAGCTTATTTAAATTAGTCAAGGTACCGTACGTGGGTCATCAATGTCAGGGCTTAAAGGGGAAGAGATATTGGTAGACAGACGGGCAAAAACGATGCCGAAAAATCCGAAACGAGTTTGACACATTTCTGCGCAATCCGTCAAGGTACAGACAAAACGCATTTGCATGCTAAATTGAAGAGAGGATTGTTCAATTCCGAGCACTACAGAGGGGTTTGTTGCAATTGAAATGCTTTATCATTTCCCTGGTTATGAATACCGATTTACGTCGTTCAGTTAGTTGAAATACATGGAAGAATATAAAATAAAAAGTCGCGTGCAAGAGAGCAGTAAACAAGCTGATGAGAAGGCCATCAGGGTTTTGTAAGATGCTAGAGTGGTTTCAAGAAATAAAATGGTTTTATGGTATTTGCATACACTGCAGAGATCCAATTGTTGGGTTGGGAGTCGCATTTATACACGCATTTGTGCTCCTTTTCTCTCATAATGCGAGTCCCGGTTTGAGATCATATTTCTGACATGGACTGTACCGAAAAATTTATTCAAGCGAGCAAGGATCAGGAATCAGAAATAGGTAGAAAAACTGAAATTAAAATATCCGACAAGTTTGATTGGTTGCACGCCAAAACAAGGTAAGTTGAATGCTAAAAATGAGGGGAAAATTAAAAATAATTACTCGTGTGAAGCTAGGCTGGTATTTACCCCACAGTCAACTGAAATCTGCTTTTTGTCTAATTCATGGTACACATTCATCATCATCATCATCATCATCGACAGCATGACACCAATGTTCAACACCGATGCTTTACTGTCGTACAACCATGATTTATTTGAAAGCCTTATTGTAAAGAAAAGAGTAAAGGTGGATGGGGAGGGACTTAGTGCTAGCTTACCACAATCATTCCGAGGTGCCTACACATCCACACATTCACTCAGGCGATCTGGATAGAATGTGACAACAAGAATGCCACTAACATCGGTTGGCAGCTATATCTTACAGCGTCTCCAACCAGGCGCAGTGAGTATCACGCGATCCCCATCCCGGAAGGCGGGAAGCACCGACAGCACCCAAGCGTTTCGTGATCTCCTTCAGTCAAGGGTTTGTCACCTCTCTGTTTACGCCACTCCGAATTGGGCATGGAAAA